CAAGCGGCCACACCCCAGGGCAAGGGGACCGGCCGCTCCCCGCGGGCGGTCAAGGTCTGGGCGGCCACGGCCAGCTCGTCTAGCAGCGCTGCAAACCCGAAAGCCGGCCGCGGTGCGCCTGCAGACCCCGCCGCGGCCAGAGCCGGGCCTGGGGCAGCCCAGACCGCTTCATCGCAAGGACCTTGGGGGACAAAGAAGAGATGCCACGGCTCCGGCAGCCGGCCCTGGGGCAAACCACGGGCGGAGGCGGAGCGCTTCCGTATCGGTCTCGGCCGAAACGTCGTCGGCGTGAAGCGCGCAGGACGTACTGACTGCAGCGTCCCCACGGCTTTCCGTTCCCAGCAGCCCCGCAGCGCTGCCTCTCCTACGACACCTCGTCGGTAACCCGCGCGCATCGCGGAAGCTCTGCGCTGCCGGGCACAGGCTTCTGCAGACCTACGTAGGCATCATCGCTGTTCTGAATGGTGTGATGTCTCTGCAGGGTCCTGGGCCGCGGGTGCTCGCTGGAGGCGGGTCGCACAGGGTAGCCCAGCCCGTTGTGGTCAGGCACCTGCATCGCTTGGCCGGGGGAACTCCTGTCCATGCAGTTCCCTACGATGGACTCTTGAAAACCAGACAAGACAGAAAAACGACAGGTTAGCACGAGGAACCCGCAGCCCTCGGCGCCCCCCGCGGACCCGCGGGTCTGAGACGCGAGGGCGCCAACAAGCGCTCGCGGCCCCCCCCCAGATGGCACTCGGGCAGGCTCCTCCCTCCGGCACCGAGACCCCAGAAGCTCTCAACGCCAGCGGCCTCCCATCAGCTCTACAAAAGCAGCCCAAAATCGGAGGGGCAGGGGCGCCACAGCACAGGACCCGGACCCTTGCCGACTGCCTCCCGGCACGGCCGCCTTCCCCTCGGGCCCGCGCTCGCCCTCCTCCCCGCGCTGCCCGCGCCGTTACGCAAGGGCGGAGGGAGAAGCGTGTGTGTGTGTGTCCCCCCCCCCAGCCTCCAACACGGGATGTCCTAGCGGGGCCCCTTGGCGATTGTGAGCAACCTAATCGTGCTGGAAGAGTTGGCCGGGATGTTCGCTTTTATCAGATGACTTCTCCCTGCCCTCCTACAATCTGGCTGCAGGAGCGCATGAGTGTTCTGCCTGGCAAAGTCCATCTGCGCTGCAAGCTCTTAGGACCGAGGGTAAAGGCTACATTCCTATCAGGCAGAACCCTCTCGTCATCAAGTACACGATGTTTTGAATAAAGTCCCGAGGTACGGAGAAGCCTGCCCCGGGGTCCGATGCGCGTAAACAACTCGCTCTCGGCGCCTGCTCCCGCGGAGCACAAACAGGCGGGCGCGGCCAGGAGCGCCAGGGAGCTGCCCTGAGACGACACCGCTGCAGGTAGATCCCCCGGCCAGAGCTGTCGGCTTTCACGGGGCTCCGGCCAGCGGGAAGCAATCTCCCGCTGCGCCGGGGCACCGCACCTCCTGGCTGGGACCGCAGCTGCGGGACGCCAGAAAGACGCGCCCCAAAGAGACCCGCCTGTGCGGTTACCCGGATCCGAACGAGACCCCGTCCCAGGCACGGCCTGCCACCCGAGCTCTCCGCGCCGCTCCCGGGCACGGAGCGCGGCTAGCACGCCGCTCCCGACGCCCTTCCTCCCTCAGAGGCACGGCAGGCCTGCAGGAACCCCGTTCCCGGGCAGCCGGAGACGCGGCCGGCCTCCCCCTTCTTTTGCACAACCGCGGGGTTACGTGCGGTTAACAGTCAGCTTTCCCGGAAAAGCGAGAAGGAAAACATGAGGTAACAGATGTTGGCGGGGCCGCGCCACCCACGCACCGCTCGGGACGCCGCTCCAACTGTGGGAACGGTTGTTTGGGCCGGCAGCCTGCTTCTCCAGCTCCACAAACAGCCCTGGCGCAGGAGCGCTCCCGCGGCCGGGCCCAGCAGCGAGCCCCCGGCACCAGCCCCTGCGCCGCAGGCGACCAGGCACGGCGGGGCCAGTCCCCCCGGCCCGGAACGGCCCCGACCCAAAACAAGCCCGCGCTTCCCGTCGCCAGCGCAGCACCGCTGGGGATGCGGCTCGGGCCGCGGGGGCGGGACGGCCTGAATTCTCGCTCCTCTCCTCGCCCCGGCCCTGCTCCGGCAGCAGGAAAGCTTTTCATCCCCACATCCCCAGGGGACGGGGCTCCTGCGCCAGGCGGCCTTTGTGTCGGCGCGGCACGTGACACTGGCACCGCGGGCACGGCCGCCGCCGCCAGCTCCGCTCCTTCGGCGCCCAGGCGAGGCAGGTTTCCCATGGGCAGCATTCCCAGCCCTGCGACGGCTAGGCCGGAGCAAAACTGGAGCAGAGCCCTCCAAAGGTGGTTTAGTCACATCCTAACCAGAGATTCGGTTGACACTCTCACCGTCGCCGGCTGCCACCTCCGGCCGACGCTCAACAGAGGAGCCGGGGCTTTTCGATCAGGGTCGACGCGCTCCCTTGGAAGGCACAAAGGCTCCCAGGGCCGCTGCAAAGTTACGCCCCGGCTCCAGGGAAAACGCCCTCGGTGAGCTGGGGCGGAAGAGAAGACACCTCCGCCTCGAGAGCGGCCGCGGCCTCGTAGCGCGGGGTGGGGAAAACAACGGGAAAACCCAGGGACGCGGCTGAGGAAGCCCAGCCGTCAGCACCGGCGCTCGGGGAGA